CTGAAGGCAGGCATCCGGTACTGGTGGCTGGTGCGACTCGAGCTTGCACCTACGCGTGCCACAACAACGCCTTTACGCGGTTCCCATATTGGAGTACTTCCCGACCAACGACTGCTGTGCCCTGACCTAAGCCCCCCCCTTCTTGTTACAGTACATCTACCCCGCAATCCGTTTAGCGGGCACAGGTGTCATATCTCAGTGACACCCGCCCTGCTCGAGACATCGAATGCAATAATTTCGGGCCGAAGTGAAAGATGTGGCATTTCATCCGGTGGAGAGGAGGCCACGCAGTAATCGTGTTTTGGTAGAAATAGCAGAGTATGCTGTTTTATGCAATCATGTTTTAAAATATATGCTTTGTGTGCTTACTATGGGTTTAACGTCATCAAAAATTGACCAGCTCATGTTTTGCCATTTGTCTTTAACTTATATGTTTGCGGTGACTTATAACCCAAGAACTATTTATACTTTTTAGCACCCGTCCTATCTAATTAAGGGTTTATTAAAATTAGAAAATGTGTTTTCGATTAAGAAGGGTTATTTAGACAGGGTTATAATCTTGAATTGCATACAACATAATCCGAAGATACGTCCGTCAGGACAAGATGCTGACTTTTGCATGAGCCTCCTTCCCCCTCCCAAAATCCACTTGGTAAAAAAGTAAATACTTTATTACTTAGCATTTTGATTTATGATGGCTTACAACTTTAAAAGTATGCATCATACACGTACATGAATTAGGGTACTACATGAGTCAAGATATGTTCAGTAAATTCAACAAGTCCACGTTCCATAATCCATAGATCTAATTTCGCCGCCTCTCTCCCTAAAATACGGATAATAGGTAGCATGCCAGTAAGTCGATTGTTGACTGTTAGACAAAGTTTCTCCATATAAACCGTGTTTTTTTTCCTAGAAAATGCCCCTTTTTGTGTTTTAGATCAGATTGGCTATCGAACTTGACAACAAAGCTGTTTTTTATTTATTAGTTTCGGATGTCGCAGGAATAAATTTTAGCAGAAAGCTGCATGCAAAGAGGCTGCCCCTTTTAAGAACTCTTCGTAGTTGACTTTTAAATGAAGTTTCTAAAAGTAAAGCAGTTCGCTAAGCATCTTTATAGCGACTGCGTTAAGATAAATTTTAAATTATCCGGTGAGAGTGTGCCGCATACGTTTTATGCTACTGACTTATCATGACGGTATGTTTCATAGAGCTTGAGGGCCCATCCTCACCTTAAAGCAGCGTCTAAGCGCAACTGTTCGAAAATTAACTTTTATAGACTGCTGCTGAAGCGTTAATTTCATACCGCGTAAGCGGCCTCAAACAGAATTATATATACGGGTGAATAACCTTAAAAATTAGGGCACAGGGCTGTGTTTGGCGAAAGAACCGATCAAGAGTCTCCTTGCGCACTTGAGTGTTCCATCTCCCCAATTTCCCGGTATACGAACTCCAGACTAGGAGTAACAAGCTAACTTGTGATGGATGTTTTTAATTTATACAGAAAATCGCATTTACATGTACCTAATAATTGTTGAACTAGAAATCTAAAAAGTTTGTATCTTAATAATATTCACTTACCCACTGGTTTTCAGATCATCTATGGGTTTCCATCCCATATTCAGCTCATTTAAGCAAACATGGAAATAATTTTCTTTTTGCATCCAATGTTTTGCTCTTCGACCATTTTGACAATTCCTGACAAAACGAATTACGTAAACTATTGCTCACTGTCTGTTTTCCTTTACAGGCTGACAACATTCCTCCCTACGAAGTTGTGCCCACAATGCGTCCGGTGGTCCTCATAGGCCCCTCCCTGAAGGGCTACGAAGTGACTGACATGATGCAAAAGGCTCTTTTCGACTTTCTTAAACATCGCTTCGAGGGCCGGTTAGCGCCTTGTTCTTCTTTTATTTGCATTATACTATGCGAATGTCAGTCCCATCAGTCGAAACTCAAGTTTTTGAGTTCATACTCCACACCTGACTGTATTACCAGTCGTCTTCTCGTCTAAATTCCATCTCGGATTAGAAAATTTAGCTGGTTATATACCTTCTACTTGCGCATATTAACTGTAGCATTTAAAAGTAACTTTGGGCATTCTCTATGCAGTACCGCAGTTTGCCACTAGGATTCTAGTCACATGATCTTACAAATCGAGTTTGTTTGTTGGTGGCGTAATTACCGCTATTCGAGTTTTTTTTCATACAGGAAGTCTTATTCACTCCTTTTGGATTTTATCGCGCAGTCACTCGGCACAAAAGAAGGCTATCCTGTTGGTGCTGTCGCGGCGCGATTGCTTTCTGCTAAAACATCGTCAGTTCAGTGCAAAATTATCCGCGTCACGGATGTATACTAAGCACTATTGTAAGGAAGAGAAATTTCCCAACTTCTAACTTATGAACTTTGGTTCTTTTTGTTTTGTACGGCAAACAACCAACGCAAACGTTTACTTACTTGTGCCCTGTAGAAAGGCAAATATGAAAGACGGGAAGCCGTTCTCTCGAACCAATTGTATACTCATCCGACGTTTGTAACTCTCACTCGAGTCTATCTCTAAAGAATAAGAGAGCTATGCAACGCCACATATGTTAAGCTTATCTCAGATGAAACTCCCCGTCAACCGAATATAAATTTGATTACGCAGAGCTTGTGAAGCGGTTGGCAAATCTCTTTGCCTATTAATCGATTCCACAGTCAAATGCCTCGCTTTCTACTTCCTTTTCTTGCCAAAAAAAGTTCTAAAATAGGGTGATTCCACCAATTGCAGGTAAACTGATATCGAAGCATAAAAAGGGGGTTTCTTGCATAAAAAGGCAATGATCATTTAGATTCCTTGATTCGAAATTGCTTCGCCCTCCGATTACAGTTAGTACGAACGAATGAGCGTCTAACATACCGATTAAGTACTATCATGGACAGACCGATACATACAGAGGAAACCCAGTTAGCAGGCTTCCCTGGCTTTTCAGTACCAGCGTATGCCAGTCGTATTCCCACCGGACACGGGCCGATGTGCATTCACACGATACACCTTTGTTTATAGGCAGAAAGACATTACCGGCAAAGACATGGGACACTAGGAAGGTCTTTACTGGCTTATTTACCGTCATCGGCTAGTGATACCCAACTCAAATGTTGCCGCTGAAATTGCTGCCACACTCGAGTTTTGAACCCGCGATCGCTCTGGTCAAGGCAAACGTCCCAACCGTTGAGCTACGAGCTCACAGTCTTGCCGGTACTAGATCGGGGACATACAGTGGCAGATATGCGAACACCGATCTGTTAGAGGGCACACTCGTTCGTCCATGTTGCCATTAGAGATCTCACTCGAGCTTTCACCGCGAGGCGGCTTGGATATAGACAGAAAGACACTAATGGCAAAGACATGGAACACTAGGAAGGCCTTTTCTGGTTTATTTGTCGTCATCGGCTAGTGATACCCAACTCAAATGTTGCCTCTGAAATTTCTGCCACACTCGAGGTTTGAACTCGCGATCTCTCTGGCCAGGGCGAACGTCTTTACCATTGAGCTACGAGCTCACGGTCTTGCCGGTATTAGATCGGGGATATATAGTGGCAGATATGCCTACAGATATGTGTGCTGGTAATTTCCTTCTGCCCATATCCTAGCCACCTTGCGGTGG